ACACACACACACACACACACACACACAGACACACACACATACACACAGATGCAAAGCTACTTTAGTGTACTTTGCGGACAAAAAAAGGTCAGTTGTAGGCTGTCATTAGACCTTAGGTTAGATGCTGTGCTGAACTTAACATGGATGAAAACGAGGCTGTGAGGGACAGACTTACAGTCTTTTTAATGGCATGCATTGTATAAAGGCCTTAGATCACGTCCTTTTCACAACTCACAACTTTCAAACTGTTATATGAAGTTTTTGTCTACTGAAAGTTTCTTTCAGAAAGGCGATTCATAAGCTGAACAATCGGTGCGTTTTTAAACAACATTACAATCTAACGCACTGTACTTCAGTCCCTCACAGCCTCACTTTCACTCCCTGGCACTACCCTGACTAAGGTCAATAGTGTAGCAATTCATGAAGCACTTCTCCCACTGAAATCACTTTAATAAGCAGCTTTCTGGTCAACATGGCGAATCTGTGCAACCAATTTGAACACAAACAAAATCTGCGTGAGGAACTTTTTTTGCCCTCGCGCGAAACTCCCAAACACACGGCTTCCTATTGGACTTTGCTTGCGAAATTTCACAGAGCAATTGTAAATGTGAACACACCTTTAGACTTTCTACAGTTCTTATTTAATTTAACTGACTAATATAATGCTAAAAAACATAATAATAATAATTATAATTTTTGTAAAATTTACATTGTATTTTTTATTCATTAAAATTAATAACAATAATAATAATAATAATAAACAAACATGTATTGAACACTTAGTTTACATAATATAAAAAAATGTAACCTAAGAAGTCTCTTTCCTGTTTAAAGGGGTCATATGATGCGATTTAAATTTTTCCTTTCTCGTTGGAGTGATACAAGCTCTTGGTGCATAAAGAAGATCTGTAAAGTTGCAAACACTAAAGTCTCAAATCCAAAGAGATATTCTTTATAAAAGTTAAGAGTTAACCACACCTACCTAAATACAGTATGTGGAAAATAATGTGTTTTTTTAACCTTAAACCGCATAAACACATTTCATTACACCAAATACACAAAATAATGTTCTTTTTAGCAACATCATATGACCCCTTTAATAACATTGGTAACACTTTACAAAAAGAAACAAGCAGCTAAACATTAATTAAATACATTAACTAATGAGAAATTAATTTGATACAGCATTTTTTATAATAATTTTTTTTTTATGTTCACGGTAACTAAGGTCCATTAAATAATATTAACATTCTAATAGTGTATTAGTAAGAGTTGAAATTAACATAAACTAAGAGTAATAAACACTTTTCATTGTTAGTTCATGTAAACAACTGGAAGCTTATTGTAAAGTGTTACCAAAACATCATTTCCCACATCAGAACGAATCAAAATATTCCTTCTATATCGCTAAAAACCACCAACCTCAGCTGCTTAACTTGTTTCCAAATACTTATCTAGACAAATCTAACAAAGTAGAAAAGGATAAAAAGTCACCCAAAAAAGAAATAGTATATATATATATATATAAAGGTGAGATTCTTTAGCACAACAGAGGAGCTGTTTTGCAATGCATGTGTCTCAGCGAGGGGCCCATGGGGCCAACTAGGAGGCTGTTTCTGCGCTAACAAGTCTCCTCTGGATCATTTGATCATTTAAATTATTATGCCAGGAATCCTCAGGAGGCGACTCGGCTCTCCACATCACAGGGCTGTTTTTAATCTTCCGTCTTCCCTTTCTTCCCCTGAAAAAGTTCAGCACGGCGCGGCTCAGAGAGGAGCCGTGCTCCTGTTGTGTACCTGGCAAAGGAGGTGACTCCCCGAGCCGGTGCGCGGAGAGAGAGGAGGCTCATGGGAGCGCGGCTTGCACGTGTGCACTTTGTTACAAAAGCACAGTGGATATTGCGTCAGTCACTTGGGACGCTGCTTTTAAGAGTAGTATAACTCCTTTTACACAAAGACGACGGCTTAAATCAGCGCATCAACTCCTTTATCGCTTTCTTTTAAGTTCTAATGATCAAACCCTTCAGGCTTTATTCTCCAACGCAACCAGCGATGCTCCTCAATCAGACGCTCGGAGTGAAACTCTGCAAACTAGATGCATTTGCGAGACGGCGGAAATCACATTATGGAAGTCGCTGTAGATATTAAAGTGTGTTTGCGTGTCTGAATGATGTCTGGATGCATCTGGATTAAACTGAAGCAGGAGCTGAGACACATTGCATGTGGCTTCTGCTTAATTCCCAGAGAAAGAAACCAATAACACAGTATCAAAAGGAAATTTTTTTGCACATATTTGCACATATACAACATATTTATTTATTTGTTTGTTTGATTTCTCACATGGTGCCATAGCTATACTGTGGTTTTTTTGGACATGTGCATCAATAATGCCATGATATTCTAGGAAGCAGATTCAGTACCATGGTATATTTTAAAGTACCATAGCATTACCATCTGATGTCATCACTGTACCATTTTTGTTGTTGTTGTTTTACCATTAAACTGAAATTCATGTACCATGCTATTCACATGAAACTCCAAATACCATGGTATTCTTTGCAAATATACCATGATGGCAGTACCATGGTACTGAATGAATTTCAGTGCCAAGGTATATTTTAAAGTACCATATAATTACCTCATACCATCAATGTACCATAGTACCACCACAGTATATTTTTTGGTAAAAGACTGTACTTTATATATGATATGATGTATATGATACTGAAACGTATGTACCATGGTATTTATAATGGTAAATATGGTACTTTTTTATGTGTACCATATGGTGCCATGACAATAACATGGTATTCTTGGAGTAAATATTGTATAGTATATCATATATCATACAACACTCCCAAAAATAAATAATAAAAATAATAAATCATTTATATATATATATATATATATATATATATATACATTTACATTTAGTCATTTAGCAGACGCTTTTATCCAAAGTGACTTACAAATGAGTTCATTCCCCAATCTGATGTGAGCATAAGCATTGGGACAATTGAATTTAAAGCAAATGTAAAAGTTTAAAAGCTAATATTTAGTTGTGAATCCCTTGCGTGCAATCACAGCAGTGAGTCTGCCACCCACAGACATCACCAGACTCTTGCTTTCATCCATTGAAATGCTTTTCCCAGCCTTTAATACAGCTCAATTTCAACTGTTGATTGTTTTGGGGAGTTTCTGCCTTTAGTCTCCTCTTTAGCTGGTGAAATTTGTTCCAGAGGCAGCCATGCATGCCCACACCACCTCCACTTCACAGATGAGGTTGTATGCTTAGGATCATCTGCGGTTCCTTTCTTTTTCTCCACACTTTTGCTTTCCCATCACTTAGATAATAGATCATCTTTGTTTCATCTGTCCATGAAACTCTTTTCAAAAACTCTACTGGCTCACCTTTGTGATTTTTTGCAAACTCTAATCTTGCCTTTCTATGTTTGCTGCTGATCTGAGGTTTGCATCTTGCTGTGTAGCCTCTGGACAGTAGATTGTCAGACCATCACTCCAGCTTTCTGGAGATTGTTGGTGATTTTACAGATACTTATTTTAGGGTTCTTTTTCACAGCTTTTATGATTTGTCTGTCTTCATCGGCTATTGTTTTTCTCAGCCGATCAGGTTGTTGTTGGTTGTTGTAGTCGCCGGTGGTTTATTCTTTTTCAGGACAATCCAAACTGTTGATTTCTCCATGCCCATTGTTTTTGACATAGCTCTAATTGAGTTCCTCTTTTCTTTTAGCATCCAAATTGCTTGCTTGTCTCTCAAAGTCAGCTCCCTCGTCTTCATCCTGGTTTGTGTGTGTCGTCATCAAATGCAAGACACAGAATGCAGAAGCAATGGCTATAACTGATACAGCACATTACCTGCTTTTAATATCTGAACAATTAATGCAACAGGACACAACTGATCATTTAGAAAGACCTGTGAGTCAACTGTCCCAAGACTTATGCTCACATCACATAGGGCATGAAACTCTAAAAGTGCTGATCTTCTTAGTTGGTAAAACATCTCTGTGTTAAATCACCCAATAATAAAATGTGACATTCTGTACTTTTGTCTCATATTTATCTTTTAATCATATTTACAGATTTTTTTGACACCACAGCAAACAGAGCAATTTTGCCTTTACTGTCCCAATACTTATGGAGGGCACTGTATATATACGTATATATATATATATATATATATATATTAGTGCTGTCAATCGATTAAAAAAAATGTACTAATTAATCACACATTTTTCTGAAATTAATCGCGATTAATCCCACCTAACATTAAAGTTTTTAAATATACTTTTATATTATCCATTCAACATTACAGCATAATTGAGAGCTACCAATTTTAACATTAATAGACTTTAAAAATAACTTCTAATTTAAGTGAACTTAAAACAATCTTCACATAAACCCATTATAATAAATGTCATATTTACCTGTGCCCTTCAGCAGAAATATACAGAAATTGAAGTTATCAAACACTAAATTCTAAATTAAATATAGATTAATCCTTAAAGCTATAAAAGTTATTTTTTCCTCTTTTTTCTTTGTCCTTTGATTAATATACATCACAGCAGCTGGTTATTAGGTTGTTTTGGCAGTTATTTCTTTAAGAGCTGCCGCTGTTGCATGCATTGCATGCACGTAGTTTATTTCACGCTTTGATATGAAAGAATACAGGCTACAGCGCGCACCGGCACCTTTGTGCGTGCAATTGAAGAGCATGCTCTGCAAACACAGTACCGTTTCCGCGCTCGCTTTGACTCGCGCCTGGCGCTGAAGTGAAGTGGAGCGCGCGCCTGAAACGTCTCCAGTTCTCAGTCGTTCTGCGACTAAATAAATGCACTTTTTGT